CAGCCCAAACCATCTCCTAGCAAGGCCTCTCAGCAGCCAGCGGCCGGGCCTGCCTGCCTCAACAGCCTCCCTGTGTGGCAAGGGTTGCCTTTGCCTGGGTAGCAGGAGGTGCCATGCTACTAGACCCAGCAGTTCTCGCAAGCTTCCCTTTCTGGATCCAGGCCCCAGGCTAGACCCCTTTTTTGTCCTTGAGTTCCCTTTTTGAGGCAGGACTGTTGTTCCATTTGACAGATGAAGAGCAAACTCAGAGAGGCGTGGCAACTGACCTAAGTTCACTTGCTCTTGAGCAGCAACCTCCCCAGAAGCCCCTGGGCCACCTTGGCACTGTAGTTGCAGCACCCAGTCTCTGACCCAGAAGCAGCTTCAGCCCCTGTGGGGAGCTCTGCAGGGAAGGTCACTGCATCAACATGGGATCAGAGAGGGTAGGGCCTCAGCCTTCGCTTCGGAGGGCAGAAGCTCACCCTGACCATTGTGTATCCATCCAGATCTGGCCTACTGAGTTGGTAGGAAGTCCCTCTTGGCCACTTGGGGTTCCTGCTCCATCTCCCCAATGTCACACCCACTGTAGCACACCTATGAGGTCCTGTCACCTCCCCACACTGGTTCTTGCTGAGATGTCCACTCTCCCAATCTCACAGTCCTTTCTGGCTCAGGACTCTGCACCTGAGCCACATTGGGTCTCCTGCTGGGACAGTTTCCTTGGACGCGCACTTGGCCATCGTTCACCGTAAGACTGGCTTCCAGCCTCTCCTTGGCCACTGGGTCTCACGCCTCCTGCCTCCTCTTTCTCCCAGCCCCTGGGAGGGCACTGCTGAGGGGCCACTCCTGGGGCAGAGCCAGATGCCCCTGAGACATGGCCACCTGACAGCTGAGCAGGACATTCATGACAACAACCCCAAGCTCCACCAGGAGGTGCTGCGATGGGTTCTCTTTCCAATCAGAAGAGGTACCCACCCCCGTGAACTCTGGGTCACTAAGGCAGCGGTATCTGCACGTGCGTAGTGCCCCTGAGGTCCCACCTGAGGACTTGCCTGCCAATCCTCCGCACACAGACACCGGCGACCCTCGTTCCTTCCCCTCTGCCAGAAGCCATTCCAGGAAACGGTGACAGGGAAGATATTTGGTCCTTGGACCAAAAAGCGGAGCTGGACAGGGTCACACAATTCCCCAGGGTGGGACTCAGAGGGAAGAGGGGTTGTTTCAGGGCCATGTGTGTACCCCCCAAAGGGCAACACAGTTCAAAACAGAAAATGCAGAGCTGGGTATCTGAAGGTGACTCACTCTTGTGTCACCTGCCGGGGCAGCAAGGTGGCCCTCGCTCCAGATTGGCTTAAGACCTCTCCTTCCCTCTCCTAGTAATGTGAATGAGACATTACCCATGCAAAACCAAAACCAAGTAAATCAATCAAGCAATCAATCACTAAAGGGAATAAATGGGTGAGTGAAAGCTATGTTTGCCAGGAGAAAAAAAAAGTTAAACATAAAGCTGATGGTCCTTATTATCTCCTCTAGGATTGCATTCTTCCCTCTTTCCTTAGCTAACCTTTCTGCAAGCAATTTTACCTTTACAGTTAGTTATAAGCTTATACTTTTTGTCTATATAAATATCCAGGTGCTGGGGAGATGGCTCAGTAGAATAAGTGCTTGCCTGGCATGGCAAGCGCAAGGGCCTGAGTTCAATCCCTAGTTCTGCTCCCCCTCAAAAAAAGAATCCATACATACCATCTAGGATTGCTCTTCTGCATGACTGGTGTGTCTGGACTTTTCTGTTTTACTTTTGTGGTTTCTATTTGCCATATTTTTTTGTCTCCCCATCTTGTCCGCTGCTGGATAGATTAGAGCCTCAATGTTCTCTTTTTTTTTTTTGTTGGCTTGGAAACTGTAGGATGTATCTTTTAGGTAGGTATATTTGTAAAATAGATATTTAACCATAAATGTCTATAGCAAAGTTAAAAGTTATTCAGTATTGCCATCCTCCTAAGCAAGCTGGAATTTTCCACCAACCAATAGTTTTTGCTATTGCCTTAACATTTCAGTTCCACCTTTTTTAACACATGAAATTCATTGCTGTTATTTTCATTCTCAAAAAAAAAAAAAATTTGGGGGGTGGCTGGGAGATAGCTCAGCAGCATAAATACCTGCCTGGCAAGTGCAAGGTCCCCAGGTCGATAACTGGTACCACAATAAAAGAGTTGTATTTGTTTTTGGTAGTACTGGGGATTGCATCCAGGCCCCTTGCACTGAGCTATAACCATGGCCCTTTTTTATAGTTTATTTTGCGATAGGGTTTGCTTAATTTCTAGGTTGCCCAGACTGGACTTGAACTTGTGATCCTCCTGCTTCAGCCTCTAAGATTCTGGGATTACAGGTGTGTAACTTTGCCTCTCGCTAAATCTTGATCTTTGGTAATTTTTGCAGACATGGTTTATGGGAAATTCTTTCCAAGGCTTTGCACATGTGAAAATATCTACTCGGCCTCACTGGAGTGATAGTTTAGCTGGGTATAGGGTACCAGAACACAGCCTTCATGCCTTCGCCTTGGTAGTCTTGCTCCAGACTCTGAGAAATCTGCTGAGCAGCTTCTCTGTGGATAATCTTTTTGTGTTTTGTAGATTTTCAGCTTTCTCTTTATCCCAAATGTGTTGTTTCCCCACCATGCATGAATGAGTTGATGCTGTAACCCTCCACACCATTTTTGTCCCTGAAGATCGTGCTCCTTGTTAGCTTTAGAAATTCCAACTGTTCTCTTTTAGAACATTAATGTCGCATTGTTCCTACCCTTTTGGAGCCTCAGCCTACTCCCTATGCTGCTTCCTGGTAGCTTAACTTTGAGCTCTCTCATCTGCTGAAGTCTACCCCACATGCCTGGTCATATCCGCCAACAAATTTACTCTTTTCTCTGTGCCCAGCCAAGAACAATCTGTCTGTTGAATTTGTTTACTTTGTTTAAGACAGAGTCTTGCTGTGTACAGGCTGACCTGGAACTCACAACCCTCCTGCCTCAGTCTCCCAAGCGTGTCTGTTGACTTCCAAACCTCACCCTTCAATCTTTTTTTTTTTTTTTTTTT